TTTTTAAGTGTAATTTATATACACACACTACCATTCAAATATATATATATTTTTTAATTTTTGAAAGAGATAATAATTAATTTATCAAAGATCAAAAGTGACAGTAAGGACATTTATAATATTACAATAGACTTCTATGTCAAATAACGGCTGTTTCTTGAGCACCAAATCAGCATATTAGAATAATTTCTGAAGTGTCATGTAGCATTGAAGCCTGGACCTTTCATTTTAATTTTGATCACTCTATTATCATTCTAAAGCAAAATTAATTTTTGTAGGTGTATTTGCTGACAGCATTGTGCCAAAAGAAGAGGGTACAAATAAAACCAGGAGAGATGGAGAGTCTGTCACACTGAGCTGCACATATATAAGCAAAAATAATGTTTTGCTTTACTGGAACAGACAGTATCCTAATAGAGAACCTCAGTATTTGTTGTTTAAAAGTTCTCACTCGTCTGTTGAAGGGAATGTACCTGACAGACACTTTAAGATAACTACATCGCCTACATCCACTTCACTCACCATTAAAAATGTGAATCTATCAGATTCAGCTCTCTATTACTGTGCTCTAAAAGTAGGAGCCCAGTGTTTTTGTAAAGCGCTTTACAAAAACACACACAGGAGTCTATATTGGTATCGTCAATATCCCTGATTGGCTCCTGAATTTATTTTAGTCACTCTACATGCTACTCAGTGTTTCCCCTGCCATTATTTTAGGGGGGCGGCCCGTCAAGTTAATTTTATTTAATTATACTTTCTCTATAGCGCCAGATCACAACAGAAGTAATTTAAAGTTACCTTTCTTATAGAACATGTCTATACCTTGTTCTTTCATTAAGCAAACTAAATAGCCTTGTGTTATTTATCTTATTTACATCAAACCACAATTTATATATTTTTTGTAAACCACAGCTCTAGAAATTATAGAGTGTGGAAACACATGTGCATTTGGGAGATTATGAAAGGTTATATAGGGGGCATGTGAAACTATCACTTAGCATTTGTTTTTCTAAATGTTATTTAAAATTCAGAAATCATTCAGTATACAAAATTCATGTTTTTTTTTTTTTACTAATTTTTTTTTTAAACAAACAAATAAAAATATAGTAGTTCTCTATATTTTTATAGAAGTAGTTCTCGGTCTGTTATCCTCTATAGATGAAGTAAACCTGCATACTGTAGCTGTCATGTATATAATGGCAAGAGGAGGAGTTTAACACAGACACTAGTGCACAGATAAGTAACAATCAGGCTCTGTGTGAAGCAACTGCTCTTTGTTTAGCCTGTTCCTGGCAATTTGTTGAGTAAACATGTTCATCTGTATTATCATACTGATGCCATTAACAGAAGGTATAATATTGCAATTTATTTAGACAAATATTGAATAACATTAAGGAAATACACTGAAATACATCATGTAAAATGTATTTGTGCTCTTTTTAAATAATTTTTAAATATACTATATAATATATTACTTATATACTATAAATAAATATATAAAAAAATAATATATTAATGTTATGTTTTCACAAGATTGTGTCTTACAATTAACGCCACTTTGATTTGCAGGTTCCAGAGCCTCAGAAGTCATCACTCCAAGAAGTGACAGAGAATTTGCTCTTGAGGGTAACAATGTGACACTCTCCTGTAACTATACAGCGGTTCTGCTCGTGGTGTTCACTGGTATCGGCAATATGCAGGTTCACCACCACAGTTCCTCATACTGGAATATTCAGGGGTAGCAACTCCAGCTAATCCACCTGTTCCAGGAATAACCATCAATCACAGAAAAGAGCAAGTGATTCTGGAGATCTCCTCCCGTCAAAATAAAAGTTCAGTTTAACTTGAGGGCATTGGCAGAAAAGCCTAGGTTTACGGCTTTTTACCCCCCTGAGGCCCACAGTAACAGGAAACATAGTAACGTAGAACAAAAAAGCTTTCAACACAACATCACTGTTTAGCTATAGCCTGGCAATGACAACACCATCTATGTTAGTACTGTTTTTGATGACCAGCTGAATGTCTGGGATTTCCTAAATTATTGCTTTGGACTTGGAACATGAATTAGCATACTAAATGTCTTAATGAAAAATGTAACATTGCAGAAAGGGTTAGGTGATAATTAAAAATGTCATTAGCATGAAAAACAACCTGTGTATGTGTGATTAGTGTGTGATGTCACTAACCACACCCACTTCTACATTCATTCAAACTGCAGTGTCAGTGAATTGTACCTTCTTCTTCATTCACATGAAATATATGAATTCCCTAAAGTGCATTGCAGTGTCTCTTATTCCTGCAAACATGATTTGGCTTAAAACAAAATAAATTACTCGTAATATTAACATGGACAGATGTCGACTGCTGATTCTCATGACAGGTACTTTTTTAAGTGTAATTTATATACACACACTACCATTCAAATATATATATATTTTTTAATTTTTGAAAGAGATAATAATTAATTTATCAAAGATCAAAAGTGACAGTAAGGACATTTATAATATTACAATAGACTTCTATGTCAAATAACGGCTGTTTCTTGAGCACCAAATCAGCATATTAGAATAATTTCTGAAGTGTCATGTAGCATTGAAGCCTGGACCTTTCATTGTAATTTTGATCACTCTATTATCATTCTAAAGCTAAATTGCCTTAAAACAAAATGTAAATACACAACACAGAATTTCTGAGCAAAAAAATCATAAGGCTATTGTAAGAATAAATGAAACTTGTTTTATGCTTTCAAATTAGACATGCTAAAACAGAATTTGGTTACAATAAAACATAAGGTTGGACAAATAAAACATTTCATAGGGCCCTAAACGTAATATTTGTTAAACTTTTAATAAATTGATGTTAAATTGTTTAAGTTTCATGATAGGGGGCATCATGAAACTTAAACAAGTAACCCCCCCCCAAAAAGCCGTAAACCTAGGGGAAACACTGCTACTGGAAAAGTTTTACAGAAGTCTAAAGTTGTGGAACTAGATCCTCGATTCTCTGGAAAACTGAATAAAGAGAAAACCCACACGTATCTGGAGATCTCCTCTGCTAAAGTGACCGACTCTGCTCTGTACTACTGTGCCCTGGAGCCCACAGTGACAGGAAAACAAACTACACTGTACAAAAACCTTTCCTACACAGAGGGTAAAGCATACCACAGTCAACTGCACCACAGTCAATCAGCAGAAATATGGGAAATAAAATAAATAAAAATAAAATGCAACCTAATATTTCTATGGTTATTTCTGATGTACAGTCCCAATTTTGTTTGGTTGCTTAGATTTTGTATGTGCGGATGGGTTTTAAAGCTGAGACTGCTTGTGTTGAAAAGCAACCATTCCACAAGAAATCAACACATACTGGGGTTAGGTAATATCTAAATAAAAGCTCTATGATTTGTAAGCTATATATGTTACCTAACTCCAAAATCCTAATTTAACCTAATTAAGACAAAATAAGTGACAATAGTAACAGTTAGTATTCCTTCAATGAGATTAGATTGCCATCTGGTGGGCTGGTAAAATAGGAGCTGTTAATGATTAACTTAAAAGTTTTTTTTTTCTTTTCTTCTTCTTCTTTTCTTTGTTTAATCGTGAAAAACTAGTTTCTGATTTCAAAATTAGTCAGACTGATTCCTAGCAGGTGAATTTTGCTCTTCCAAGAGATAAAATGGTATTGTAACTATAAGTTAAACAATGTACCTTATATTGTTTTAGCTTTAGGTATAGAGCATTGATCAATCAATCTAACTAAACCAAACATGACAAAAATCATTCCACAAGTGTTTCTGGTTTTGTGTTGAATAATTTCTGATATTTATAAAAGAATTATGTTAAGAGGCGGAGCTTAACACAGGCCTGTAGGACACAGACTCATTCAGTGATCAGCATCACAGATGACTGAGGCGAGCAGCAGCCTGTTCATCATGTTCACTTGTGTGCTTATACTGCTGTCTTTAACTCAAGGTAAAATCTTACATGTAGCTACTCATTACATTACAATATTCTCATTTTAAATATGCTTAACAATATATATATATATTTTTTTTTGTATAGGTAACAGAGCTAAAGATGTCATCACCCCATACAGTGATGAAGCATTTGCCACTGAGACTGAGAGTGTGAAACTCTCTTGTAACTACACTGGTTCTGTTGATAGTCTTCACTGGTATCAGCAATATGCAGGTTCACCACCACAGTTCCTCATTCTGGATTACGATGGAACAACTACTCATGCTAATCCTCCAGTTTCTGGAATATCCATCAGTCACAGAAAATAAGAGAACAGTGTGGATCTGATCATCTCCTCTGCTGCTGTATCAGACTCTGCTCTCTACTACTGTGCCCTGCAGCCCACAGTCACAGGAAACACTCTACACACCATACAAAAACCTGAAACACTATTAAATTGCAAATTTACAGTGATGTCTATCCATCGGGCATATGAAGGCATATATTCAGAATATATAATTGTGCTCTCAAATTGCAATTTGTTTATGAATTACTCTGAGCTTTGTATTCAAAATACAGATCCATTCATCATTGTTAAAAATGAACTGATTTGACAAGATGAATTGCTAGTTATGGAAGATAACACTATTCTGATGCAAACTATTATGGATTTCATTCACAGTCTTTTTAAAATCTATGTAATATACTAGTGTACATTTGGGAAAACAATCCTGAAAAGTCCACTGTACAGTAGTTGGAGCAATTGTGCACATTTTAGTTTCCATTTTGAATGCACCAGTTCTATGATACATGTATATGTTTGTCATCTGCCACTAGGGGGTGAAGTAACTCTGAGCTTTATATAATAGATCAAGTACAAAAGAGCAAAAGAAAATCATATTAATTGACAGTCAACACAGTTTCTAGGGGAAAGACAGAAGGTGGTCTAAATATCAGAAACCACACCCACATTTATAGACATATTAGCTGCACAAATGACTCTCCATTACATTCATGCATTTAACTTAAAATCATTAAGTATATATTAATAAGCCTATTTTATTAATACATTTCTCACCATGGAGAGATGTGTTCTACTGATTCTTATAACAGTACCAGGTAAAGTGAATTTCACTAGACTAGAACAGACTGGGGATTCAAATTGTTAATTAGTAAATTTGTTAATGTACATATTTATTTAATTTATATTATTATTAAATTGAATTAGATAAATTAGTAATTAAATTAGGTGGCTGATATTCTATATTTCATAGCATAATAAATGTTATAATGCATAGCACTGTTACTGTAACAACAGACAGAACAGGGATTGAATTCAACTTTTATGAAGAATAATTTATTCTCTTGCAGGTGTATTTGCTGACAGCATTGAACCAAAAGACAAGGACAATATAATCAGGAGAGAAGGAGAGTCTGTGACACTGAGCTGCACATATGATGCAAGCAGCAATTATGCTATGCTTTACTGGTACAGACAATATCCAAACAGAGAACCTCAATATTTACTGCGTAAAGGTGCTCGATCATGGAACCGAGAAGAGGATATACCAGACCCTCGGTTTCAGTCAATTACATCTGAATCATCCACTGAACTCACTATTAAAAGTGTAACTCTGTCAGATTCGGCTCTCTATTATTGTGCTCTAAGAGTTGGAGCCCAGTGATACAAAATGCCTGAGAGGCTTTACAAAAACTCACACACAAAATAATTGTTTTTAACAGTATTTAATCAATTAAAAATCAAACCACAGCTATACTTTATGTGAGCCACAAAACCTCTGTGAATAACAGGATACGGTAACAGCTGCTAAAACTGAAAATGAATGACAAAGTATAATGGTTTCATTGGGTAATTATTGCTATGAAAAAGTGATACTTTTTGTTACTGCTGGTAATTCATAAATGATAAATTGCCCATTCATTTGACTGACTTTTCCTTTCAAACTGAGTAAGATGTATTAACATTTCATACCAGACACATTTAGCACTTTTGCAAACATTACCTAATTATTACAAACTAAGGTGTTGTTTGAAGAAGGAGATAAATTCAACTTATACATTTTATATACAGCATATTCTTTGAATATGAAGACTGTATCTTTAAGGGGAGGTTCTAGCTGGAAACATGCTCTGCTAGACAATGAATGAATCTTACTTCAGTAACACTCTGTCCTGCAGATAAACTAAAACGTCATCCTGAAAAATTATGCTTTTTGTTTTTGTTTTACTTTGTTCTCTAACATATAAGTACAGTCTATCAAAAACTGTCAAGGTTTTATCATTTTTGTTTGCTGTTCTGATATTTCATATGAATATTTATTTATTTATTTAAATATTGATTTCAACTTGAATATTCCTATCTGTAGGTGTAAGTTTTGGGAATGTCATCACACCAGTCCAAACTGAGATGTTTGGGACAGAGGGGGACAATATAACTCCGGAAACAGGAATAATACCATGCAAAAACACATCCTATCCCTGCTAAGTACAATGAACATTTGAGAAATGACATTACTTTGACAAATAACAAGTGCAAGCAGATTTAGGCATCAATCCATCATAATATATGTTAATTGCTGTGCTTTATAAGAGGGTTATGTCAAAAGGCGGAGCTTAACACCAGCTTGTAAAACAGATTAGTTCAGTGATAATCATCATCACAGATCACTGATGCAAGCAGCAATTACCATCATGTTCACTTGTGTGCTTATACTGCTGTCTTTAACTCAAGGTAAAATCTTACATGTATCATTACATAACAATATCTCATTTTAAACATGCTTAAATAAGCTTTTGCTGTAGGTAACAGAGCTAAAGATGTCATCACCCCATACAGTGATGAAGCATTTGCCACGGAGACTGAGAGTGGGAAACTCTCTTGTAACTACACTGGTTCTGTTGATAGTCTTCACTGGTATCAGCAATATGCAGGTTCACCACCACAGTTCCTCATTCTGGATTACTATGGAGCAACTACTCATGCTAATCCTCCAGTTTCTGGAATATCCATCAGTCACAGAAAAGAAGAGAACCGTGTGGATCTGATCATCTCCTCTGCTGCAGTATCAGACTCTGCTCTCTACTACTGTGCTTTGAGGCCCACAGTCACAGGAAACACTCTACACACCATACAAAAACCTGACTGACTCTATAGTCTTAAAATGAGAGATCAAAAACAACAAATAGTGTCCACACAGATGAATGTTACATTCAAATTCATATTTAACTATACATTTACCCGCTGGTTAGTATTTCTACTGGTTAGTGTTTCTTATGTGCATTTATTTATTTAGTAAATTATCATTTTTGAATGAGATCACTGATGGAATATCACTATATAACTATTATATAACTATATATCTCATATCAATATCAATAAATAAAGTCAACATCTTTTATATTTTTCAGATTCACCAATGTTTTTTCTTTGTTAGACTCGTGGATGTTGTCAATGGGAGAATAAATGTTGGTCACACCACCACTGGGGGGTGCTGTGTACATTAAAATATTTCAGAGAGGACACCTTCTGTAACTGTATCTGAAATGAATTCACATGTTCAAGGAACAACAGAAGACGGTCCCTTTGCCCTCTGGACATATGTGTAATTTGGTGAAAATGTGCTTAAATGTCATGAAAATGAATAATGCCACAATTGCTAAAAATCTTAATGGTCAAAAAACAGACTTCATGTCCTCAGAGGCAAAACATACAGTAAATCCTTGGGTAAAACATGATTCAGACATGTTTGCCATAGGATTGTGAAATTTACTGAATCAATAATTTTGTGACAGATCGTAAAGGGCCTAAATGGTTTGTTTTTCCTTACAAAATGCACTTGATCAATATTTGATATGTTATCTATATTCTATTGTGAATAAAATGTAAGTTTATGAGATTTGTAAATTATTCCATTCCTTTTTTACTCACAATTTGTACAGTGTCCCAACTTTTTTGGAATTGGGTTTGTAGATATCAATCAACACACCATAACAGAATGTGTCACTAGACTACAAATATAATGGTACACTCTAAAAAATGCTGGGTTGTTTCAACCCAATGTTGGGTCAAATATGGACTAACCCAACTGTTGGGTTAAATTTTGGATACATTTTTAAATTAGCTTTTTAACCCAACAGTTGGGTTAGTCCATATTTGACCCAACATTGGGTTGAAACAACCCAGCATTTTTTAGAGTGTAGGTTTATGGGTGGAAATGGGATCCAGGGGGTGGAGATGGATAGGTTTAGGGGTGGAAATAGGATCCAGGGAGTGGAGATGGGTAGGTTTAGGGGTGGAAATGGGATCCAGGGGGTGGAAATGGGATCCAGGGGGTGGAGATTGGTAGGTTTAGGGGTGGAAATGGGATCCAGCGGGTGGAGATGGGTAGGTTTAGAGGTGGAAATGGGATCCAGGGGGTGGAGATGGGTAGGTTTAGGGGTGGCAATGGGTTCCAGGGGGTGGAGATGGGTAGGTTTAGGGGTGGAAATCGGATCCAGGGGTGGAGATGGGTAGGTTTAGGGGTGGGAATGGGATCCAGGGGGTAGAGATGGGTAGGTTTAGGGATATGTAAAGTGGGAGGAGTTGGATCTCGAGTTGGAGTTGGTGCACCACTGTAATACCAGTGTACTTACATGGTAACTCCTCAGGAACTGTCCACTTAA